GAGTGAGTGAGTGAGTGAGTGTGAGGGGGGGAGGGTGGGCAGGGGTTTTGTTCCGGTGTATGTTCCGCAGACGGATCTTGTGGAAGCCTCGCCCTAAACTGCCGTCTACTAGGACCCAGAGTAGGCCCTTATTTCCTTTTTTAGGGTTCAGGTTCCCTCATAAAGTCCTTCAAACATAAAATGGGCACCCTTTTTATTCCTAGGTTTCTCTTGGGGCTTATCTATGCCCTCGCAGGAGAGCATCTATCCGGGCCCCATGTGCAAGCTCCGCGTGCTGCGCTTCTTCTCGCCGGGAGCTCAGAGGAACGCCGGCCATGGCTGGGCCTCTGCGAAAAGCAGCACCCTGACACCCCTCATTATATTATATTATGCTATATTATATTATACTTTACTATATTATGTTACAATTATATTACAAGTATATTACAATTATGACACCCCTCAAACATCTGCTACAGTTACAGGGGGCCATAGTATATTCAGACTAGAGCAGGTGATAGTCATCTGATAGTAGACAGTCTCTTTTGGGGACTAGAAGAGAAGAGCATGCTTTAACCCTCAGCGCTAACCCAGGCCTGATGGGGCTTCAGCTTTGTCAACAGAGACATATACCTGTCAGAGAAACCTTCAAGAAGCCCAAGTGCCATAAAGCCCTAAAAGGCCCCAAAAGGCTCCAAACAACCCTAAAACCCTGAAATCCTAAACCCCTAAGGCCCGGAAACCCCAAAGGCCCTAACCCCCGAAATCCTAAGCCTTAAAGCCCAAAGTTCCTAAAGGCCCTAATCCCCCGAACCCTAAGCCTTAAAGCCCAAAGTTCCTAAAGGCCCTAAGCCACGAAATCCTAAAGACCCTAAACCCCGAAATCCTAAACCCCAAAGCCCTGGAAAGCCTTTACCCCAACTTTTGACCACGAGGCTCTGGAACCAGGCAGTGGCTCTGCTTTTGGATGCGCTGTGCCTTGGATCGTCACTGTGATGTTTAGTAGGGCGGCTTCAGGGTTTTTAATCTTTATTGCAGATATTCGTTGCGTTCGTGGTGATATTTATTTGTTAGAAGGAGACATTATCTGAGTGTTGGAAGAGCTTCGGGATTTGCGCTGGGAGCCTGTAGTGGTCCTTCCGCGAATATGCCTGGGCGGTTTACAGACTGTGCTTGGAGGTTCATGGGTAGTTATAAGTGGGGTTCTAAGTCCCCTAATACGGGTTATAACTATAGTTACCCTACTTATAACCCCACTTATAACTACCCATGAACCTCCAAGTAATCAGAATGTTCTACCCCGCTTATAACTACCCATGAACCTCTACATTAATCAGAATGCTCTTCCTGAAGCCTTCCACAGGAGACCTGACGTGTTCCACTGCCTCGACTGCCACCAGGTACCGAGATCGTGTGTCATTGAGGGACTCTTGCTCAAAAGTCCCAGTTTTTGTTAGATCTCACCTTCAAAGCACGGGTTGAAGGTGTGTCGCAAGGTAGCTCTGAGTTGGGAGTTCGAGGCTTCTGTGGGCGACAAGTGGATGCTAGGGTTCTTCAAACTCAACCTGGGCCTGGGTTCTTGTTAGGGGATTTAATTGAAGTTACTAGAATAAGGAAACCATATTCTATACTATAGATCCCTATTATGGTAACTTAACCTAAATCCCCTAACAAGAACCCAGCAACTGTGAGCTCCAGGTCCGATGTTCAGCTGTTGTTGGAGAGGAGGCTAAGGAGGAGGAGGAAGGGGAGGAGGAGGAGGAGGAGGGGGACGACGAGTGCTACTGCTGCTGCTGCCGCTGCTGCTCCTGCTCCTCCACCACCACGACGACGACTACTACTACGATTACTATTCCTCCTCCGCCTGCTGCTGCCGCCACTGCTACTACTACTGCGATGATTTCCTCAAGCAGGTTTTCACTGCTTCTCCTGACTCTAAGCTTCGTCCCGTCTTCTATTTACTGTGATCTGCTCGCGAAACCTGGTGCCAAAACTCCTGGCTGGGCAACGGGCAAATCACAACTTTTTCAACTCAGTCCGACGAAGGCCATGGCTCCACTGTACCTCAGCGAGCTGCACATCCCTATGGCGCCGCAGCAGAAGACAGATAAAAGATTCCGGGGCTTGCATCACGAAGGGACGATTTCTGGTACTTTCGTGACAGCAGCCACGACCGTCCCTAAGCCCTACGCCGTCAACACCATGATACCAAACCCCCATCACCCTAAACCCCCTGCGCCTACGGCTCCGAGGTTCTGATGCTCCGGAAGCCTTTGGAGATGGGCTCCGTCGACTCCGAACTCATTTGCGACCGCTGCTGGCCAGCCTGCCTGCTTATAAAACCGGATTTCAGGTTTAGTTCGGGGTTCGTGGTTTTGTGGGTGGAGCGCTTAGGGCTTAGGGTTGACGGTTTGAGGCTTTTCCTTTTGGGGAATGCCTGGATTCCGACTGATGGCTTCAAATGCGAACGTGAATGCCAGGAAGACCACCATTGCCCTTCGCCGCCTCTCTGTCGTATCTGGGACTTTTTCTTGAGCCGTGGTATCTTTTCGGTTGGAGGGTTCCGGGTTTACCTATAGTCTCCATTGCGGTTCCTTTTTTGGTTTAACCAATTCTATATGAAGGATCCTAAACGGTAACCCCAAAAAGGAACGACAATGGAGACTACAGGTAGGCTTTAAGTTTTGGGACTTGTTGCAGCAATGCCGAAACGGCCGGGGAGATGATGGACATTAATATAGGGGGCCTTAATAGTTAAAACAGGGTTTTGGGGCCCATTATACTACAATTATAATAAGGAACCCCCAAAATAGTATTGGTAATTATTTAGACCCCTACATTACAGGCTCGGGGAGGCCTGGCTATAGGCCTGCCACGGGTGGGACTTTCCGAAAATTAGGGTACCTTATTTTGGGGTCCTTATAGTAAGGATCCTACTATTTAGGGTACTATAGTAGGGTCCCCTATTTTCGGAAACCCCCAGGTGTCAGCAGCTACTACTCGGATGAGGGCGGCCTTTCTGATTCCGTTGGGCAGCGGATCCAAAGTAGTCTGCATATGGGTAGTTTTCTGAATTAGGGTCCCTTTAAGGGTCCTTTGTATAAGGGTGCCGCACTATTTTGGGCACCTAAAATGGGACCCTAGTTTAGAGAACTACCCATATCCCCTCACATGGACTTGAAGAACTTACGGTTCTGACTTGGAGAGCTGCCCATACATGGAGCCTCCACACCGGAACATCAAAACCCGACCTGTGCCCGAACTCCAACCTGCTCGGAGGTTCATGGGTAGCTATAAGTGGGGTTCTAAGTCCCCTCATATGGGTTATAACTATAGTTACCCTACTTATAACCCCACTCATAACTGCCCCTAAACCCTAAACCCTAAAAAACCCTACAGAACCCTTTAAAGGACCCCCCCATAACCCCACTTATAACTACCCCATGGAACCTCCAACCTGGCCCCGGCCCCGCCCCAGGTTTTCAATCTCAAGCTGCCCACGCTCCGGAACTTTTGCACCTTCGAAGGCTCCGAGCTCCTTGAGGGCAACTGATACAGAAGACCTGCGTGTTAAACCCTAAAACCCTAAAGCCCCTAAGCCCTAAACCACTAAACCCGTAACCCCCAAACCCCTAAACCCTAAACCCCTAAACCCCTAACCCTAAACCCCCAAACCCCTAAACCCCTAAACCCTAAAAGGCCTAGCTGCCCGGATTGCTGCTGCAAAATGCTTCTGGTGGCCCCCGGGGCTTGGGCGGGGTCTCTTGCTCAGGGCTTCAAGGCTCCGAATGGAGGAACCTGATTAAGAAACCTGGCCCTATAACCCCAGCATATTAGGATTTAAACATTAAACCCTAAACCCCTAAACCCTAAACTCCCCTACATAAGGAACCCTAATAAAGACCCAAGGTCTCTTGCTTAGGGCTTCAAGGCTCCTAAACCTTGCGGACATCACGGGAGGCTCTGAAGCTTGGAGACCTGATCACTATGTATCAGAGTACATTATATGATGTATATTACGTATTATTTTTTCGGCATTATTTAATGCTACATACTATGTTAATATATATATATATATAATCATCATTTAAGGTGAGTTAAACAATCCCATCAACCCCGTCACGCCCACAGCAGCCGGTGAGCAATCATCGGCTGCCCCCCGGGCTCCATGAAGCTCAGCACTGGAGCTTTAGACTTGGGGTCAGTCACCAGGTTGACGGGTTTCTCTTACTTTTGCGCAGTCTCAAACCGAGCTCCTGGACAGAAGTGGGCGAAATCCTGCCTTCTTGTCCGGTCATACGGTTGATGATATAAATCCTGCATTACCCATAACAAGAAATATGCCAGAATTCCCATAGTCTAGGGTCCGTAAGGCAGTGCAGGATTTATATATCATCAACAGTAGGAGCCTGGCATGCTCAGGGCGGATGTTTGTACGGTTCAAGAGATTGTAGAAGGTTGTAGAAGTTCAGGTGCCAACCTTGAAGCTATAGCTGAGCCTGAATGCAGATCCTGTCCAGGGCGCTTCAACATGATGTGGGCGGCTGTACGACGAATCAAGGACCTTGCGAATACATTTTTTTGCCAAAAGCCTGCTCCGGGCCGGTGCTTCTCCTTCCAAATTAGGGCTTAGGGCTTTGAGTTTTGGGTTTTAGGGTTCAGGGTTCAGGGTTTAGGAGGACACTAGCGTGATTTGGGCTTGGGCACTTCTACTGCAAGCCCTGCCTTTGCGCACTAACGGTTTGTGCAGGATGCAGATCGTGTGTGGAGGTCTAGGTGATCCCTCAAGGCCCTTGCTGGGTAAGCAATACCTTAAACCCCATAACCCCGAGCCCCTAAACCTTTAAATCTTAAACCAATCTTAAACCCTTAAACCTTAGAACTCTGAGCCGTGGAACCCCGAGGCCCTAATCACTTCCCCACACACCCCGAAAATCAACTATACCACATGTATGTATGTATGTATGTATATATATATATAATGATATGCAGTAATCTATATAGTAGAGCATAATGTAGTATAAAATACATAGCCTATTCAAGTTAGAGAACTTCAGGACCTCCAGTCCGGACGTGGCCTTTGCGTGCTCTCGGCCGCCACGGCGGCGTCCCTGCGACGGGAGCACAGCCTCTTCCAGGCGGTGTGTAGGAGGTTTGGGCTTGACTTTACGGAGGCTTGCAGTATATTATGGTTAGACATATGGCATGTTCTGTAGTAGATACTGGCTTGTATAGCATGTTCCTGTCGTTATAGCAAGATATTGTGGATGCGCGCAGAGCTTGCACGACTTGCAGAGTTCATGCAGAGTCTGGCTCCTCCTCTGTAGGGTTCCTTCCTAGGCGGGCAAAAACCAGGACCGGGCTCACCCACTCTTAGGGTTAAGGGTTTAGGGTTTTAGGGTTTAGGGGTTTATAGGGTTTATAGGGCTTATAGGGCTTATGGGGTTTATGGGGTTTATAGGGTTTAGGGGTTCATTTCTGGTGCTGAATTCAGCCGTGCATCTTAGGCGGCCGAAGTCTGGTACTCATAAAGGGAACCCAATCTTGGCCCTGCTGCACCGTTTCAATCCAGTCGAAGGGGTTGATGATATAAATCCTGCATTAGCCATAACAAGGAATATACCTATAATTCCCATAGTTTAGGGTCCGTAAGGTAATTCATATCATAATAAGGAACATACCCATAATTCCAGAGTTGCGGGCAACTACGGTTGATGATATGAATCCTTAGCATTACCCATAATAAGGAATATACCATAATTCCCATCGTTTAGGGTCCTTAAGGTAATGCTGATGGTTTATATATCATCAACAGAATCTCACCCGCTCTTTCAGTTTCGACCGAAGGCCTGTCCCGAAAGTCATCCTCTACGACTGGTTGTGGTCGTATAGACATGCTACCGGAGTGTTATGCCAAGGGCTCCAGATTCGAGTTTGAGAAGTGCTCTAAACCCTGGTATAGCTACACCAAACTGAAACCCCAAAATGCCAGTAGAACTATGCCAGAATATTAAGGCCCCCATCTTCGTGTTTGAGAAACCCTAAACCCCTAAACCCCAAGCCCTAAACCCTAAACCCCTAGACCCTATAAACCCTAAACCCTACCCGGCTTCGGAAGGCCCTTCAGCGCAAGCCGAGAGCCCTGGGCCATCCTTCACGACTGGCACCCGGGCCAAAGGGAGGAGATCATGAAAACCGGTTAGGGTGTAGGGTTGAGGGTTTAGGGCTTAGGGTTTAGGGTGTAGGGTTTAGGGTTGAGAGCTAGGTTTTGTTAAGTTTTTGCCGGTGCTTTAATACAATGTATTGGACCTAAGCCGTCCAAAGGTTTGCGGCGTTTGGAGGTTTCGGCATTTTGAAGTCCAGAGTCTCGTGGGAGCTTAGAAAGCATGAAGGAGAAAGAGAGAGTGAGGATGACAGTGAGAAGGTGAGAAAGCCTGAGTGTGTGAGTGCGTGTGTGTGTGTGTGTGCTCAGGGTTTGACCATATGCACTTCCGGTGTTGCGAGCGGGCGATTTGGAACTCGGACTCTGCTTTTTCTACAGGGACAGGGGAGCCCTTTTGAGACAACCGCGCTTCATCTTCGGAAGCACCCGGAAATGCGCAAGAACTGTACTTGGAGGTTCATGGGTGGTTATAAGTGGGGTGATAAGTAGGGTAACTATAGTTATAACACATATTAGGGGACTTATAACCCCACTTAAAACTACCCATGAACCGCCAAGTAGGAGTTCCTGCTGAGGTAAGCCGCGATGTCGAGAGCAGCGTGGATGATCTGAAGAAGCAGAGGGTCGGAGCCCTATTCTGAGAAAGCTTTCTTCGGAGCTTCGCAACAAAGGCCCCAAGGCTTGAAGCCGACCTTACAATATAGTATTGATATAGTATAACATAATATAACATAGTATAATATAATTTAATATAATATAATATAATATAATATAATATAATATAATATAATATAGTATAATATAATGTAGTATGATATAGTATGATATAGCTTCAACATAAAGTTGGATTACATGACCGGTCTGCCTCCAGCTTCAAGACGGGATCGCTTCCTTGGGCCAGACGGCTGCCCCATCGTGAGGTCGTTACCGTTACAGATAGAAACCGAAGGGCTTCTTGATTCGGTATGAAGACCGACTTGCAAGCAATCACGTAACGTGCATTGTCGCTCTGGAATGTAAAATTCCGCCAGCTTAGGGCCCCGAAGTATTAAAGCACCTGAATGCATGGCTTCTTTGCATGAACTCCGGCGTCCTTTCGGAAGGACTGGGCGTGGTAAGACAGTGTGGAACATTAAACCTTGGTCCACACTCTGCCGAACCTGCAGATGTTGCGGGATGGAGGGGGTAGTCAATCCTTCTTCTGTTTACAAACCACTTGGAGGCAGGCTCATGATACCCCTATACCCTAAACCGTTATGGTATCAATACACGTCCTTCAGAGCCGACCGAAAACCCAAAACCTTTAAACACCGCAAGACTTCCTGAACCCCCTGGCCCGCTTACTGTAGCT